CTTTTGTGTTTCCTTAACATAGAGACGACGTTCTAGGAAACAAAAACATCAGTGTGTGGGTGAAAATTCAAAGGACCCATCAAAAACTAGATTGGCTTTGACGTGCACATCGACTTAGTATCAAAACTTTGCTTATTCACAACTAATGCTTTTTTTATACATCTTGATGATCAGCTCTTCCGAAACATGGTTTTGATTGTACGTATTATTTCAATATGCAGATAAGTTTCAGGAACAGTGATGAACAAAGGACAACAAACTTGGAAAGAAAATCTATCATGGTCTTCGTTTGACATAATGGAACTTTTTGAACATAGTTCGATGTTCCCATAAGCATATGTCACTCCAAAGCCATACCTGTTATGCGCGAGCAGGCCAACTGTTCGTTCAGGATCTTAAACTTTTTTCCACAATATATTCGATGTTGATGCATATTGCTGCATTTTTTTCAGAGCGCAGTCTCGGAAACTATGTTTGTTTCGCGGTGTAGCTTACAAACAACCCAGAATCCTTAAGGCTTTGCCCAAAGTGGAAATAAAACCAAGTTTTCGCGTTACCTCCACAGACATCATTTCACTGTTGTTTGCAGTATAGCTTTTACGCAGTGGGTCTACTGACTGTGAGACTCCATGAGAGACTAAGAGACTATGACTGCTGACTGTGTCACTCCATAAGGTTTACAGCTGTAAACTCCATCATAGCCGTGAACGGTTCTGGCGACCTTAATCCATTTATCCAGATTTTTTTGAACTTTTGCTCAACCGAGCTACCTAAGGCTAGGGCATTCGGCATCACCCTGAACGTTTCGTCTCTCTTGCAGTATTGTAGTACTGAATCTTGGAATTTGTCATACGAGATGGAAATCTTACTCTCTAATAAGACAACTTGTAATTTTTTTCGAAGCAGTAGGGTACTACGATTCTGTATCTCAGCTTCGACATGAACGGTTCCACTTGCTTGAATTCATATCCAAGACTTCTGAAGAAAGGGTAAGTCCAGATAAGAGCTAGAAACCAAGGTTTGTTTAGACTTCGCCGGCAAGCAGCAAAGGAAATCACCTTTGTTGTGTGTATAACAAAGCGGATTTATCTTTGTCCAGACTTCATCTTTCATCTTTTTTTCTCACTTGTAGAAAATGTCTAATGAGAGCAAGAACTTCTACGGAGCACCGAAAGTCAAATTTTACTGCACGAGTTAATCAAAAGCTTGCTGCGACTAACAATTGCTCTAAGGTTAGCTAAAAATAAGTTCGG